CTGCCCGATGGCCCACGGAGAGCGTGAAAGATGGAACTGCCGAATTGTCCTGAAACTTTATCAGTTGCACATGTTTTAAGCCTTGCAAATTTATGCATTCAAGTGCAAACAGACCCAAAATAGAAATTATTTCGGTTTTCAAGCGCATTCGCTCTTAAAGTACAGCAGCCTAATCAGGGCTCTAGAGTGCGACCAAAATCTGTAAGGGTGCGACGAGAATTTGTCCTAGGTCGCACCAGTGCACCTAACGTTCTTGCATGATCGCATCCGCTGCCTCTCCACAAACGAGTCTTTTGTTCTCCTTGCACGCATGGTTGGATCATTTCGTGGTCTAAACCAATCAGAGATAGAGATTGGGCGGGTCTTTGCCTCTGATTGGCTGTGGTTCAGATATTCCTGTAGGACTAAAATGCTCCGTGCTGTGTGATTGAAATAAATTGCGATCTGTCACCTGAGCACCAGAAAATCAGTTACGGCAATCAGCAGCATCAGCTAAATAAACGCAAGAAAACAGACGACGAAGAAACTTTTAAAAATGTAGGCTACTTGAACTAGGTAAAAAATATTGATTTCTCGATTTTAATCGATTCTCATTGATTTTTACGAACCGTTGGGCTATGCTGTTTTCAGTTGATGAATGAATGGAACATTGTAGCGAGCATCCCATCCAATAAATCGCAATAATCTTTGTGCTTTGTTACTATTGATATGAAACAAAGTCTCAGATTTCAAATTAGGTCCATTTTCGTACGAAATTCCAAAACATAAAAGTGTTTTGACGCTGTGGCGTGATATCGCTCTGGCTCAGCTCAAGAGAAGCAGCAGCGCGGAGCGCACATGATCTCCTCTTCCGCCTTAATAATACCAGTTACAGCGCCAAATAAACATGAACTAGCATCTGAAAGTGTGTTAAAAGATAGAGTACAACTTATCGAAATCCGTATCATGTCACTTGGAATCGCTCAATCAGTGTTTCAACCATGGAAAGACGTCAGTAAAACGCTTGTAAACAATGTGATGTAACGTCACATTTACCTCAGAAAAAAACATATCCAGTGACCAAACTCGTAAGCTAGCTAGAAAAATTTACTCTAGAGGAGCATTTTGCCTAATATATGCACCATATTAGATATTCATTATAATTTTTAATGTTTTTCAATATTGAATGCATGTTGTTTGAAAACAATCTGGCAAGTTTTTATGCAGCCACCATTTAAATGTTTATATTTCATATAACTTTATTATTATAAAAATAAATAAAAGTGTAATTTAAGTGTTTGTGTACAACTCAGGTAATTTTTACCTTCAATATTATAGTAGGCTAATGAAGCCTATAGGCTACGACTCCCAGTTTACAGCATTAGTTGAGATTTGTTTTTCTTGAAAAAATTTGCCATGTATTGTACCTGATATCCAAAATAATAAATATTGAATCGAATTGTGAAATTTGTGTCAATACCCTGGCCCTAACTTGAACAATGTAAAAACAGCACTTTAAATTTTTTTTTTTTTTTTTTGATTTATATTTTTATATACAGTATAATTGTGCTTCAAATAATAATAAAAAACTACACCTTATTCTTGTTTAAAAGCATTTACATAATATATATGAATGTATATGGAGCGTGATAAAAAGGTGACCTTGAAATTGTGGCGTTAAAGGCGACGCAAGACGAGGAAAAATTTGAGTGCACCTAAATTTTGTGCTGGTGCACCTAAATAAAAAAGTTAGGCGCACCAGTGCAACCAAGGCAAAAAGTTAGTCTGGAGCCCTGCTAATATTCCTGCTGCTGTGCTGTCTGTGTCATTAATCAAACAACAAAAGACAAATAGAAAATCTCTCACTGGTCTTGACTAAATAACTTTTATAAATTTAATATTTTAAATCCATATTTAATTTATACAGTGAAGACTATGCAGTGTTATTATTTGATTACTTTTTTTCACAGAGAACACATTTTTGCATTCCACTGCGCTGTTTTTCCATTGATTTTCTATGTAACCGCGGCGCTCAAGTTAAAAGAAAGTTCAACTTTTAAAAAAATCATGCCTATAGAAAAATAGATTTAGCAGCAGATATGGCCTGTTGAGGCATCTGGCCTTTGTTTATATGGACATCTGACTGCTAAGTAGGGTTTGGTGTTTTTCAGCAATAGTGCTCAACCCTAAGGATATTACATTTTTGACACTTCAATTCCAGTATCTAAATATTCTTAAAAATTAAGTTCATTGTCACTTGAAAGTGTGTAGGCCTACTTAAATTATTATGCTGTTATATTATAAATTCAGTGGGAAAAAATGGTCTTGAAGGGACAATAGTATTGTTTAATCACAATTATTTCTGGGACAATCTACTGCCCAAACAAAAAGCATATAGGCCTATACCCACACAGCACTACTTTGCAATTAAATGCATTGGTATCACAGCATTTCAAGCAAAATATGTCATTAGTAAACAAATGCAAGGTGTCACGGACAAGCGGAGGAAAAATAAACAGAACGATAGAGCACTCAAGACGCTGTGTCACCATCTTACTTTCACTATCTCATCTCCAGCCCTGTCTAGATTTAGTGCTGTTTTTCTCACTTTGACACTGAGTATATGCCATATGAAAGAAGGGAATGAGAATGGCATGCATATAAAGCAAGCCTGGAGAAATGCGAATGCGCATTCAAGAGCATCTCCTGAAATTAATTGCATCCACTACAGCCTCATTTACAAACTGTTACCGGTATGTCAGGGGGTGACAACATTCTTGACATGAATTTCTGTTTTTTAAATTTCCTTGTGTCACATCTACAAACAAAAAGCAATAAAAATTTGACTAAAATCAGCACTGCACATCCATTGTGTGACAGTTTACTTCAGAAATTTAAAAAAAATATTTTATAAATGTATTTATATAATAAGGTATTTTATTTATATATTATTATTATTATTATTATTAATATATGTTTTTTATGGTTATTGTTTAAATGTTTCCTCTAAAAAGTGTAGGTGATTTAAAAAACTTGAACTAGCATATCTTACACAAGTACATTAGTACACAAGACAGCATTTCAATAAAAAAATATATATATTCAGTTTTATCCAACATTTAATGATTTGTTTAAGTACTACAGCATTACATATTACAATCGTGAGGAAAATCTCAAAGTGTCTCTATGACCAACCTGTACACTTCTCCTATTAACAATCAAGCCAAACACCACCCAGCATTTCCACTCAGCCTCAGAGAAGAAATATAATCGCACAAGCTGATAAAAATCCAATCTTTTCCAAACCCCCGCCCCCAGCTGTAAAAGCTCGGAGTGACGTTCTCAGAGAGGGGGTTTAAAACAGCTTTAAAATCACGTTGTGTAAGAACTACAACCTGAGCCGCATGATGAAATCAGAAAGGTTACACCGCCACAGAGAGTCCCTCATTTGATTTTCCCAGGCTTTTACCAACACGCCGCACACGCTTTTCTCTCCGTGGAGTGCGGAGCGCCTGTTGACTGATGACCCCCATGAGGGCCACTCATGGAGCATAAAAGCACAGGGGCCCCTTAATGGGGCTGAGAAGCTCTTCTCATGGATGGCCGTCATTGACAAAATTACACACATTTAAAATGGGTCTCACAGCTCATATGGTGCATGCAACATGTGTCTAACTGGAACATTACAAAACAAACCAATATCACAGCAATTCACACAAAAAGAACAAGCAATTTTTTACTGAATTTCATTTTTATCTAAATCACAGGAATTCAACCCTACACTGAACCCAAAAGTGCTCTGATAATGGGCATGTTATGATGAGATGAGATTTACTAAATTAAACAAAATGATCATTTACAGAATAACATTCTCTGGAACGTCATAATCTCACAAGATTTATGCAGTTAAACCAGGACAGCATTAAAAGAAAGGGAAAATAACACAATAAACTAATGTTGCAACTGAACGGAAAACCTGGTGCAGTTGTTCTTCTGCACCATTTGTAATGGAATGTGCTGGCCGACACCGAGGCTCAAAAGTCACAGACACGTGCAGCATTTTTGGACATCATAGGTGTGTTCTGAGTCAGCTGAATTCGTGCTCTTGAATACTGCACATGCTTATGATTCCCAAAAAGGCTGTCTAATAGGTCCACTGCACTTGGATGAGATGAATTAATTTAAAGGGATAGTTCACCCCAATAAATTTGAATTATTTCATCATTTACTAATGCTGTTCCAAACCTGTATTATTTTAGATACATAAGATTATTTTTCTTCCTTGGAAACAGAGGAATATGTTAGGGAGAATTGCACTCCTGTTGAATCTTTGTCCATGATACAGGTTGTCATTATCTCCTTTTGTGCTCCACAGAAGAAAGAAAGTTATAGGAGTTTGAAACAACATCAGGGTAAGTAGCCTAAATGATGACAGAATTTTCATTTTTAGATTAACTGTCCCTTTAATCACTTAAACGCAACCACAAAACTAAATCAATATCGACCATGTGCTGTCCACTTCAGTGAGTCAATGCAACTGCAGGATAAAATCATTTGAGATCTATCAACACATAACTAAAGAAGACAAAGTAAAAGCTTAAATGACAATACAAACCTATAAAAAATGCATAAATTACTGAACAAGCGCTTAAAAAGCAAAGAACTGACAAATAAAGTATTACATGTGCACTGACAGTCTGAATCATTCTGCAGACTGAAGATGCCGAGTATGAACACGCCAGATGCAACGTTAGTGATAAATATGTCACTAAAAAGGTGACAATGTTTTGGATGGTCCCAGACTCCCAGCTCAGAGCATCCTTGACTTCAGACAGGGAGACGCATCCGCACGCGCTGATGTTAAGCAATTTCCCCCATCACATTACACATCTGGAATGCAAGCTTGCTGGAATTCAAGTTACACTTATACATGATGGATGTTTACATGTTCGGATTTGCACATATATCCAATTTCGCTCGAGGAGAGCACCGTTAATTAAGTTTAAAGAGTGCTTACTCACCTTACAGCCCGCACACAGATGCAGTCAGTCTAGCGTCCTGTCCGAGCTCAGCTCAGCTCAACCCGGGAGAAATCTTGACCGCGCATTCCCAAATTTCCACCAGCGCCATCCAGCGCCGCAGCCAGTACATGCAGATCTCGCGATAACGACGTTCTTTACATATGCAGTTCTCGCGATAAAGGCTTCCCTTTGGATTGAGGACCGATCTGCTACCATCTGCTGGAGCTAGTTGGTATTGTACGTCAGAATGCCATTACGTAACCGATTTTGGTTTTGTGTAGACAAAGAGAGAGAGGCGTGAATTCTGAATAAAGCTTCTTAGCGTGTTCTTAGCAGTGCAACATTGTGTAATAATCACACAAAAGCAAACAACAGAGTGGCTAATGGTCTATAACTTGCACTTTCTACGAACTGAGTATAATAGGACAAATATTAGGTGCATATTCCTGTGTAGCATTTTCAACAAAGTAGGCTTTCAGTGAAAGAAAGTGCTGTCAGAACATGCTATTTGTCCACTTCAGAAGGACATATTAAACATTATATATTCTGTTTTATTACATCAAATGCCATAAATGTTAATTAAAACAATAATGGGTAACAGGGTTGTTAGCTACAGGTTGTTAGAAACCTGTACACAGAATATCTTAGAATACAATTTGCATCTAAAAGATGTACTGTTACTTCATCCTAAAGACCTGGGTGTTATATTAGACAGCAACTTCTCTTTCGAAAATCATATTTCATATGTTACAAGAAAAAACAGCCTTCTTCCACCTCAGAAACATTGCTAAGCTACGGAACATGACATCTGTTTCTGATGCAGAAAAGTTAGTTATTGCAGTCATGACCTCTAGATTACTGTAATGCATTACTAGCTGGTTGTCCTTCATCCTCAATAAACAAGCTACAATTAGTCCAAAATGCAGCTGCTAGAGTTCCTACTAGGCCAAGAAAATATGATCATATAACACCAATTGCATCATCTCTACACTGGTTACCTATTTAAGTTCCGTATCAATTACAAAGTATTGCTACTGACTTTTAAAATATAAGGCCCTAAATGGTTTAGTTCCTGTGTATTTAACTGATCTTCTATCGGCTTACAATTCATCATGATCTTTAAGGTCACAAACCACAAAACTCTGAGCTTTTTGTAGTAGGCCTACCTATCTAAGTCCACTAAAGGAGGGAGAGCGTTTTCACATTTGGCTCCTAAACTCTGGAATAGCCTTCCTGATAATGTTCGGGGCTCAGACTCACCTCAGTTTTAATCTAGATTAAAGACGAATCTCTTTAGCCAAGCATTAATATAATGTATCTCATAACCTTATACTAAATCAGATCAAATGCACATGATTATCCATGCTTAACGTTATGAACAGCAGCTACGCTAATTATTTTCTATTTGCTTCTCTGTTTTATCTCGGGATGCCCATCCTGAGGTAACTAGAGAGTATGTCAGCTTCAGTCTGAATCCAGGCTCTATGAAGACTTCAGATGCCTCAACATCTGTGAAGAGAGACCGCCAACTCCTGCGAGGACTTCAGATGACGCAAACTCTGAATCAACATGCTAATGCAACAATTTTCTATATGTCATAATCATTTGATAACAAACAAGTATTCATTACTTCAACAAGCTCATTTTTTCTGCCTTAAATAATTACATTGTTTAAATTAGTACATTTTTAGCTAACTGTGATTTGTATGTACATTTCTGAAATCACTCTAAATTGTAATGTAGACTCGTGCATTTTCTGTAAGGGCTGCTTTGAAGCGAGGTGTATTGTGAAAAGCGCTATACAAATAAATGTGAATGTAATTTAATTGAATTTAGCCTAAATTATGCTGACAAGTTAATAGAAGCCATCATCACTTCTTTAGGGGCAAAAATAGGCTAAGTGTTATTAAACATGTAGATTTTGCATGTAAAATGTGGGACAGGGCTGAAAATAACTTAAAATAAGTTGATAATTATAAATATTTTTTCTACTACAAATTGAATAACAGCTAGCCTGGTTAAAACCAGACCATTCTCAGTTGTAACTGAGTTATGGTCTGGCAAAGCTTCATAGACAAATCATTTCCAAAGGGGCGTCACCAACGGACGTAGCTCAAATGCCTCTGAGGGCAATTGGATAGACCTAAAACCAATCAGAGCGATGAAGGAGATGACTTATGCAGAGCGATGTTCGTCTGTTATAGAGCAGACACTGATTAGCTACTTGCTCTACGTTTATTTAAAATTAACAGCAAGACAACTAGAAGTGAATGTGCTTTCCATTAAATAAATCACACACGGTAAACAAAACCTTAAAGGTGCATTGTGCAACATTTCATGTTAAAAATACCCGTTTTTCTAACCCATACATGCTTAAACAATTGCCTGATGGGCTGAATGAGCCCTTCTCTGATCACTGCGATTGCCTCTATAATCCTGTACAGTAAAATAAATAAGAGGGATTCGGGACAGAATTTGAGACTGGGCGTGACGTCATGCGCATTCACGCTCACCTGGCTATGTCTGGCAGGTTTGTGTATTCGCCGCCATTCTCCGTATCAGCGAAGACAACTCGAGCGACAAAACTTTAGTCAACTTTCGACAAAAGTAGAAGATGGATTCTAAGAGACCGGCTTGTAGTTCATTCCAAACCCCAACGCAAACTCCACGTAAGACAAAGAAAAGAAAACTTTTGTCTAGTGGCACCAAAAGGGCCAAATTGGAGTCAGACAGGTGTCGGAACAAGACGAGAGTCAACATCGGGAAGGCTTTCAACAAATGGAGAGATCTCCGGTCTGCTCTAGGGCTCAAACGGGATCCTCAGTTGGCTTTTACAAAGTAATAACTTATATTGTTCAAGAACGTGTTTCCACAGTAATACAATCATAAGTGGATACAGTAAACACATAAAACAGTTCAACATGGAGATAGATGGAAACAAAAACCGACGTTTTCTACCCCCGTTTTCCCCTCACACATAAGTGTGTAATTTACTCAAATGTCTTTCCTTTCATATATTTAAAATGACTTGCAGATTTATAACTTTATTACCTCTGAAGACATTATGACTGTAAACAAAAGATTTGTGTGGCTGATGCTCCTTTGGTTATGAACAGCGTGCTCGTGCAAGCGTGCGTATGCGTGTGGTCCATGAGCGTGCACACCTCTGGTTGCAGTTTCGCTTGTCGCCAAAGGGGGCATAGTTCTGCAAAAACTCATAGACTTGCGCAATGCACCTTTAACAAAAAAAACTTTGCTATGAACTTTGCAATTTAGACGCGCAAACTGGGTGCCGGTGCATCCTCGGACGCGGCGCCGCGCGCGCTGTTACAAAAAAAAGCCGTGCACAGACTGCACACAGCCAAGCTCACCAAACGCGTCATTTTTGCCGCGCGCACCTTCGCACTCGTGTGGACGCGTCGAGTAACAAGAGCGATGTTCGTCTGTTATAGAGTAGACACTGATTAGCTACTTGCTCTACGTTTATTTAAAATTAACAGCAAGACAACTAGAAGTGAATGTGCTTTCCATTAAATAAATCACACACAGTAAACAAAAACTTAACAAAGAAAAACTTTGCAATGAACTTTGCAATTTAGACGCGCAAACTGGGTGCCGGTGCGGTGAGACGTACATGCTCAGGCAGATTCGGCTTGAAGTCGTTCATCCTTGGACGCGGCGCCGCGCGCGCTGTTACAAAAAAAGCCACGCACACAGCCAAGTGCACCGAACGCGTCATTCTTGCCGCGCGCACCTTCACACTCATGCGGACGCATCGAGTATAAACAAGGCTTTACTCCGTGTCAGCGCGCGCTCTGATCGGTAAAGGGGTAGAGATTTCAGATCTCCAAGATTTCTCGTCTTGGGAAGGGGTGCACAGACCTCTCCCGAATCATCTCCAGCAGTAGCAGCCTCCGAAGCACCACTAACTATGCCTCCGTTTCCCTCGTAAGCTGATTTTAGTATTTAAACATTCTCTATGATAAAAAATGTTGGTGAAAAAAATATTTTTATAACATGGTTTTGGCGGTTATAGAGTTCTAATGACGGTGTTCAACTATAACCGTCACACCCCTAGTTCCACGGCGGCATCCATCTTTGTAAATGTACAAAATCTGCTTCACCGTCGCTGTGCTGTAGTCATCGTGTAAAGCCCGCCCCAACGTTTCTGATTGGTGCCACGATTTCGACGGATTAGAAATGGGCTTGAATGAGCTCTTTGACAGACTAACTTGCAGAGCAATTTGCCGGAAGTTGTCTGGGTTTTCCCAGGCTAAATAACAGCTTAAAAAACTGTCAAAATGAGAAGTTGATTCTAAATGCCATGAGCAAGAAATACCAAAAGGTGGCACAGACAAAAAAAAAAAACCATTTTAAAGGGTCGGTACAGAATACCTACCGTAATCAGTTTTAAACTAGCCACTATTCATGCTTTGATTGGTTTTGTGCATGTATTTTTTTAGATAATACATTTTTTATGTATTGCTTTATCTATTTTTGAAGAAATGTGACATAATTTGAACAGGAGGTGCAGCTGCTAAACAAAGATCAAAACATTATTAATACAGTACACTGACAGATTGCTTCTTTATATAAGAAATCAGACCATATTCTGTTTAGGGACAAAAGTTTATTTTAATGCTAGATCATTTTAGGTACTTTATATGTCTATCATAGATCATTGCAATGCATAATGTGTCTGCCAACTATATGAACCAGCAAATCACAACATGCAATGATGTGTTTCCATTGTAAACAGCACACAAAACAATGGGAGGAAAGGCAAAGATCATTCCTTTCTCATGCAAATACGAATCAGTTGTTGTTTTTGGATGTGAGTGCAAAAGGTCCCTGTTTGCTGGTCTGTGTATCTCTGTACGCATCTGTATTTGGCCTTTACGTTAAAGCATGTACTGTATGTTGCTGTGTATATACACCTCTGTGTTCACATAAGATGGGCAGGTTTCTTAGAGGTCGTCAGTCTCTCCATCAAAGGGGATGTTGTCCAGCTCCATGTGGATGTGGCTGTGCTCCTCATTGCATGTCCAGCCGATCGGAGTGCGGTTGAAAGAAGGCCGACAGCAAAGGTTAAACTCAGGCACTGGCTGCGGCTCCTCGTCGGTCGCCTTGATTTCAGGGGCTTCAAAGGTGACAAGACGAGAGGCCTTGTCAAATCCTCCAAAGGGCAGAGCCATTCTTGTGGACAAGAACAACATGTAGATGTATCAGTTGAATAACCACTATCAACAGGTATCTACGCGTCTGTGTAGAATTATTTTTATAAATGATCAAATATCATAGTACCTATTAAAACTCTTGTACTTGGGAAGTTCCTTGTGAACTTGAGGCCCTGGCATTTTCCACCTCATGGTTTCTTTAAGTTCCTCATCATCTTTCATAGCATGTTCCCATGGTGATACGCGTCTCTTTTCCTTCTCTGCCTCAGCATTTACTTCCTCTGCCATAAGAAGAACAGAAAAACAAAAATCTATATTAATTCCATGGACTTACAAGTTTGCTGTTGAAAAAAAAATTAAAAAAAATAATTTAACAAGGTGAGATTTACCTTGAGGTGGCTCTGGTTTGGGAGATGGTTCAGGTGGAGCGGTCATCTCACATTCCAGAGAGGGAACCAAGTTCTGGAGGTTTAGCTACAAAGGCATGAGTAACAAAAAGAAGATCATCCTGTTATGCTGTATAATGTGCATTTAAAGTTTCATTAACTTAAATAGTGTGTAGAGATATGTGAATACCAGAATGTTCAGAGTAAATGTGAATTTAATTACACTGTGGTCTCTTTCTTCTCACATAATTTCTTAATTTGTTTACATGATGAGCAGTCATGCATAATGCCGATGTTATTTTTATAAAACAAGTTCCTTCAGGTATAGAAAGACCCCTTGATCTTGATACAACTGTCAGGGTTTATTTTGTGATCCCGATCCTATATGCAATCACACTATAAACCTCTATTTCCTATCAAAGCTATTGCTTTTCTCATGCCTGTTTTGCTGACCAGGTTCTCGTCACTGACGATGAATTTCTCCACCCTTTTCTGTCGCATCTTGAACATTTTGGAGCCCTTGTTCTTCATGAGAGACAGCTCCTCCAACATCACATCTCTAGGGGCCTTGATTTTGGTCCCCAAGTCCAGTTCACTGGCTTCAGCATTCTCATCTTGCTGGTCTGGTCAAGATCAGTGAAGTGGGGAAGGAAAAAGGTAAATTCAGACAGAATGCCACTTTCAAACTAACTCAGTCTCATCCTAAGACGTCATATGACTGACGCTTTTGACCATACGTCTACATCCGACGTTTTAGGTACCCTTTAACGTCAGGTAGTAGATGACGATCCTAGGGCGTCATTTAACTGACGCTTTACCTTTAGCGTCAGTTAAATGACGCGGGTAGGTTTAGGTCTGGGGTAGGGTTAGGATTAGCGTCATCTAACTGACGTTAAAGGGTAGCCTACCCTAAAACGTCGGATGTTGACGTATGGTCAAAAGCGTCAGTCATATGACGCCTTGGGATTATAGTATCTAAATGAAGCATGAAAACAGCATAAAAAAACATAAAAAGTGGTCTTAGCCTATACAGGACAGAAGCCCTGCACTCTTTCGGTTTCACTATATTCTTTCTTATAGTCCCCATGAATTCAAAATTGACCATACTTACTTTGTTTGCCTAAATTGATCGTTTTGTGGTGAACAATTCATCCATGCAAGTCAATCCACACAAAAAAAATTTTTGGCTTCGTAATCTTTAATCAAAATCTGAAATTTCCCCTCCCCTCTGCGTTGGAGGACCTTGGATGATGACGTAGGTTTCACGGTTTGGGCGTCTTCTTAACATACGTAATCACGCCCCTCCAACTGACAGTAGACAGGCTGAATGAAAACACCTACTTTTCTAGATCCAATCAGGTGCTAGTTGGGGAAAAAGCCACGCCCACCATTTTGCCTCATTTAGTATTCCGTTTCTCTCGGAAATACGTCACAACACTGGAGAAAAGTCGTTTGCAACTTCCGGTTCACGGGGACTTTAACTGTATTATAAGCCATTAAACCTGGAGTCAAGCCACATCCAAAGGCAATAGCATTAGCGCCACACAATATTGGCGTTTATTTGAATTTATCAGTGTTTTTTTATAACAAATTGATTGAGTAATTCAATGACTCATAAAGACTGTGTCTGCATCTGAAATTGCATACTCACTGAAAAGGTTCTTATTTCGAAGAAGTAATTACTTGTGAATGTGATCCGGACGAACTACACTCGCCATGTTGTCATTGTCATGTGACTTACAACGTCAGTTGCGTCCCTTCACTGCTATTCACAACTACCCTATGGATTGAATGCGCACTTCAGAATTTAGCCGGAAGTAAATAAAAGTAAGTGTGATCCTGTGTACTATTATTATTACTAGTTTAGGGAAGTATGCATATTCGAATGCAGCTTATGACTTTGAAGATACTGCACTTTTCACGTACTGTTTTCTATTATATAGTAGGCTTATTTGGATGCAGGGAGTCACATATTTCATTCCTGAATAAATCCGTGTTTTGAATGAATCGGTTGAATGAATTCAATGACTCATAAAACTTACTAGCACCTACTTACTAGCACCTAGCATTTTCAAAAAGAGTGCAAATTCATAGACAATAAATACACAGTCTGTCTAGAACGCACAAACATGGACAAGCTTAGTGATACAAACAATAAAAATCAAATTCGTTTGTATAAAACTGTTTGTATAAACAGTTTTAACAGAGCATGAATCACACATGCAATATTTGTCCCAATGTGTGTATGCATGACAATCTGCTGAAACAGACTGAAGTGAAATAATTTGAAGTTAAGCGGCTTGAAATCTCTGCCGAACAGCTCTTCTTTTTGGCAGTCATTTTGCTGTTAATTTATTTGGCTCTGAAACGCTAGCCGCAAGAATGTTGTCCTGTAAACAAACTGCCCATTATGAGCACACTGCCAAGCAGATGAAGTGAGAGAATCTAGTACACTAAACAGCCTCCACACACACACAAACACAAAGCATCTAATCACTGAGCTGCTCATTAGAGGATAGCTGTGAAGTCACACAGTTTGACAATGTCTTTGAGATTTAACTCTCTTTAGAGGAATAATTGGCCAGCTACACACTGCATAGGCTAACCGCTCATTACACTGGTCTTTATAGTATGATGGAGGCATTTTTTTATGTCAAAGCTGCGATGAGTAATTGCATCGCAACAGCTCATCAAACTGTGGGAATTGATAGCCCATGACTCCAGCAAAAACAGGAACATTATAACATGCTGTTCTAGTTCAAATGTGACATTTCACTGAATCTAATGATGCATTAAAAAACAATTCAAACTGTGACTATTATTACAAAAAGTCACAAGCCCCTCATTAAAGTTGGTCGCAATACTATATGTGTGTTTATGCCAAATGTTCTCTCTTTTTGAGGCTCTACACATACTACCAATAAATTAAGTGTTCTCAGTGGGGATTTACACCGTGAGAAATTTACAGAGAGCCTGGGGGTTGTTTGGCATTTCTGGCTCTGGCTCTTCATGTTGACACAGGACACCAGTGACTGAGGGCGTTTGGTAATTAAGTGTGACATTTACAACACTCATCCGGTCATCACGGGATATCACAAGTGAGTGTTCAACCAGAATTAAGGTCTGTGTATTTCTACTACATATGTAAATGTGACACAAAGAAACACCTCTGACCATATTGTGAGATGTTTGTGAAGTCTGTGATGATTTTCGAAGGATTCTTCCTCTTGTTGCTTGGAGCAGGTGTTCCAGAGACAGGCATCACTGCAATCTGAGGGGGGGAATGAAATCCGTATAAACTGGTAGGGGAAGATGAGAAAAGATGCAATGTGCATTTTCTGATAAATTGTAATGTATTTAGGTTTAGCGTGATCATGCATCCCCCCAAAAAAATATTATAGGAAATAAATTGATAAAATAAAAGCATAAATTATGAACGCTCATAGCTCAGTGAATTATAATTATTATTAAACTAAATAATAAAAACACCAGCAACAACATGCCACAAAGGGCCCAAATTCGGAGGGGCTTATTGATGCTCTCTTCACTTCAAAATAAACTAGCATACCCATAAATATAACAATATTATTTACCCTACAAACAAACATAAATTATTTTTAATATATTAGATATTATGTGGTAAGGAGTCATATTAAATCTTTCAATTGCAAACCCCAATGTTTTTTCCCAATCTGTCTTTAACATGTATTAAGTAAATCTTGTGACATTAACAGTAACAGTTAGTTTTGTATTTGTATATGGCTTTCTGTTCCTGATGACTGTTTGCATGAATATTTAAAGTGTCCGATTAACACTAATATTAGCAACATATAACTATAAAGTATATTTAAGTTACGGTGAATTATAGTAAAACTTTAAATTCCATAACCGACACCATTCTCTTGTTGCAAAGAGGGGTATTTTTGTTTTAGCACACTAAATAAATCCACCATGGGTAACTGGTCAGCAAATTCCTCAAATGTCCAACTGAAGCATTGCAATGGTAAGCCTGAGTAGTCTGAATGCCATATTAAACACATTTCTGAGGAGCTGTGAGAAACATTTCTGCATTTGAACTAATAATAATAATAATTCAGTAAGGACCACACAGTTAATTCATTAACAATAACATATATATTGAAATATAGGAGTGTGTTGGAATGTTATTTATTTTCATTTGTGTGTTTATGTAAAATGAATTTATCATTTTTGTACATATATGTTAAGAAGATCCAGTATGTCAGTGTTTATTAGATCTATTTGAGTTATGAACTGCAGCAGGAGGCAGATCTATCTAAGAACAACATATATTTTTACCATTTGCAAACAATAATAAATCATCTCGGCGTACTCTAACCCCCTCAGTACATGATATTACCTCTAGATTATGAGCTCATTATAACATTTTATTACCTGCAATTCCCCCCGTTGCAATCAATCAAACATCACAATGATTCCTCTTACCTGAGACCAAAGATTCAATGTTTCAGAAAACAAATCAAATCACAGTTTGAATCAAAGGTTCCCAGGAGCGCTGTTTTACGGTTAATCCAGTTCCTTAGGGTTGGCTAGGATTCCACCAACTACTGCTCTCTTCTACATCCCAGGGAGAGTGAAATCCTATAGCAGTGTTTGGGACAGAAGGTCTTTGGGGAGTGGGGAGGGGGTTTAGTTCAGCACAGGGACAGAGCTGATGGTGAGGAGATACTTTTCTTGCAGATACTTTTAGGTCTAAATATAGAGCAATGAAGAGCAAGATGTTTTCAGGGAGGACATGTAAAAAGATTATGTCCCACTTCTTATTTCAGTCACTTACTTTGGTCACTTACCCTCTGCATTTCTTACAGTAAATAGTTGGAACTTTCTGTGTATTGCTAATATTGAGCTGAATATTGAATGGCTGAGATCACATTTCTAGCTTTGACTTTCACAAAATTCTAAATTCAAAGCGATTCACTAAACACAAAAGTTCTACATTGTGCATTTGCTATTTTTCCCTTTTCTGATTACAAAATTTCAGTAACTTTGCAGCATTTTATGTAGCTATTGTTTACTCTTATCAACAATATTTACTTTACCAGTACCATTTTGTATATTTATTTTAATATTTTATTGTGTATATTGTGTATCCAGCCATGAATTACATCTTAATCAGTACTTGTAAATCAATTACACAGTTTGTTTTATTTTAATGGGAACTAAATGCTAAAAAACAGACCATTTTATTCTATCCATTAGGTAGTTTTGTTGATATTCTTCTGAGGAAAGTCTTTTTCGTAGTTCTTACTTTGAGAAGCAGTTGACAGACCTCCATAATGAAGACATATTGCTCCTGAAAAGGAGTCAAGATTATTTACAGTTTGTACTTCACCAGTTTAAAGTATGGTCAGTAAACTTTCATAAGGCACGCTGTGAGAGTTCCAGTCAGTCTTCTCAATGTCAAACAGAAAATCAGACCTCTTTCAAAGAAGAACATGTCAACAGAACTTAGCTACTTGCTGTGCTGCTCAACTAAGGTGCAACATATCACAAACCTCAGGATCAAGAAATGCATCGTCATGTGTTTTCCTTTTAACCACGCTATAGCAGGATGTATATAGACAGGACAGACAGGACAGACATTGACATTGGGACAGACATTGGGCCCTATCATACACCAGGCGCAATGCAGCACCAGGCGCAACACAAGTGTTTTTTTTATATATCTGAGGCCATTTGTGCGCCAATGGGCGTGCTGGTCTGAAAAAGAGGTGTGTTCAGGCGCATTGATGGCGCGTTGCTATTGTGAGGCAAATGAAATAGACTGCGCCATTGACCAACTGAAACCTGGTCTAAAGTCAATGGCACAATTTTATTTTTTTGTTATTTAAAGAGCGCGTTAGTAATGTGCGCCTATAGGTCCACAACGCGCACACTCTGCTTATTAAACACACAGGGACACGCAGCAGCACACAAACATGGCAAGTATTCAAAATAAAAGGATTACAATGCAAAAGATTATTATTGTGTACATAAAGATATGGTGGAATCTGGCTTGTCCTGTAGATGGTATGCTTGCGCGCTTTAACCTCGTGTACGAGCAGATCCGTTTGCGCTCTGGAGACGCGTTCAGTCTTTCCCAATATCAAATTCCGTCATGTAAATAGCGAATCCGCCATGGCGCCAGCGCAGTTGGCATTTAAAGGGAATGGGAGATGAGACTCTGATTGGTTTATTGCATGTATAAAGCCCAAAACACATCCATTACTCATTAAGAGAATAGGGACAACCCTAGACCATGCGCCTGGCTGCGATTTTTTTTTTTTTTTGCAGGGTGGTAGGGGAAGACTCGTTAATATTCATTGGGGAACTAATCCCTGATTGGCTCGCCGTGACGCATCTCTAATGAGATGTGATAGAGAAAACAAACATCGTCTCCTTCGTGACAGACACTTTCGCGAAGGCAAGGCATACCTGTCAACATTTGGTTATCCAAATCCGGAAGATTTGTGCGGAGACCGCTCACGAACTTCGCAAACTTCTGTATCTTTGCGGGGACACCGTCTTGATCTGCCACGTCAATCTGAGTGACGTGTGACAGCGAACCAATTGCGGATTAGTTTCCCAATGAATATTAATGAGTCTTCCCCTACCACCCTACAAAAAAAAAATTCGCCACCTCGCTGGCGTGCCGACCATTTTACCCGTCGTTAAATAAGTGCACTTGCGCTGTGCGCTTTTAGACCATGCTAAGAAATTGAGGAGCACGTGAGGTACTTGCTATCGCCAGTAGGGGCGTCTGAAGGGTGAAAGTAAGAATGTGGCTCATGACAGAAACACAGACCTGTGGCTAAAGTTAGCACTTGATATCTTGTGACATATGATCGCGGGGCATAGACCAGAGGGGTCAGAAGGCAGTTCACCTTATGAGAGGAGGTAAGATTACAGAGCCAAAGCTTAGTTAAAACTGTTTACGGTTGTTCATCACAACACTAAAGGTTAACATGCAGTTTAGTTACCTCTTGAATATGGGCGTATATAGGTTATATAACATCTATATTATATATTAAAACATATATAACATGTTTTAAATATATTTCTACATGATAAAATATGCCTGCACTCCATGGCAAGTGTTTTGTAACTGTAGCGCTGCCTTGGATTCAGTAGAGTGACTGAGTGAACTTATTTAAAATCTCGTGCAACAGCGCCGCTCAGGGGTTTTTAGGATAACTGCATGTCCTTTCATGACCTTCAGCACAACATACCGCGTTGTAAGATTCCAATTAAAAACATTTATTGTGAAACACTATAAAACAGTTCGCATGATCTTTATATTTATATCTGCAGGTTAATCTATTTGCGAGCTATGAAATCAACAGAACATTAGAGAAAATAGAATAAAAAAACACATCCGCCACTTATATTTCTACATTTATTTTTATTGCTTTATATTAACTCAGACCGAACAAAGTCATTCTTGTATTCCCAGTCCTAGAGCCCAAGAATCCATAAGTCCATTAAACTTTCCATTTTCTCTCATTCAACATTTGCATTGTACATAATTCCACTATAAACTTCAAATTACCCAAAGCAAGTGTAATTGATTTAATATAATTACGTTTTCATAATATTTAACACAAAATAATACATTTACTAAATTAAAGCTTTAAAAATGTTGTGTAGAAGCATGACATACATTATGACAGTCTTATTAGTACAAGAAAATTTATATTTGAGTGTATAACTTTATCTAACGGCCCAGAAAATCAAAAAGGCAGTTTCCTCTCTATTCTAGCTTTCAAATTTGATATCTTGCTTCATACCTCCCATTTGCATACATCCATTCTGTCATCACCTTTATACTTAAATGACACAAGGCACACCGTAGCTTTACATCCAATCAACCCTCTTAACCTTAGTAGAGAAATGGTACCCACCATTCCATGTTGTTCCATTACACCAAGGCCATTGGGTCTTTTCTGATAAAAAAAAAAAAAAGGCAAAGCAAGCAAAGTTCAAGACATGTGCAATTTCACAAATGCTGTTAAACAGCTCACACAAGTGATTTAAATGGATGTCATACCTGTTTGGAAAAAGCATAAGAGCAAGCACCAGGGAAAGTGGTCAATGTCACAATCACATAATATGTTATAAAGATAAATCAGCGTTTGCAGAATTTTTCATAGTGTACTTTTTTCAGCTGTCATATGAAAAAGCCCAGCACAATTCCCCGTAGGGGAGTTCACATGCTTTTGTAAATGCTCAGTCAAAACCATGGCCTATGCAGCATTATGAGGAAATGAGCACATGCATCAAGCATTCATACTGATCCTCATCAAACAAGAAGCAAAGGCTTTGTGCAATACTCTATAGACTCAGTCTACACAAACACAGGCCTGCAGTCCAACCTCAAGATATGTTTAGAGAGATAAAGGATGGATAACATCAGAAGTAAAGGGCATGGCAGAGGCCAGAGCGCAATGGGGTGATTTGTACCATCTCTCCACTTGAGGATTTTTCATCTTTTTCATCTTCGTCACATTCTTTGCGTATTTCTTTCACTAAGACTCTGATACAACTCGAGAAAATACATGTCTTAGAACATTCTATAACACTTGTACACAAATCTTCAATGACTCTGCGGTCCATTAACTTCTGTTACAATAGGATTCTGTCATATATAGTTTAATTACCCTTCATCATTCCATCCTTGTGGCCCCTTGTACATAACGTCAAAACTTATCATTATTAGATATTAATGCCATTATTTTATTTAGTTGCTCTCACAAATAGTGTCTGTGCAATTCTTTCTATTGGTTAAACATGTTCATTTGGTGTAAAATAAATGAGATGCAAACTGAAATAGAAACATATCAAAGTGTGTGCACAGTACATAAATATCTCAACATTCTGAAAAAAACTGAATAATGTAGACATCTATGATGCTAGACATCTAAGTTGCTGCAAACTCTATTTTAAAAATAATTGTGTACTTGTTTGGAGTGACTGAAATACTACAATTGTGAACATGCAAAAAAATACATCTCTGACTGACTTTTTTGTTGTTGTTATATAACTGATGTCGAACGGTTCATTTAGCAGAACAGAGCTTGCTCTTGCCCAGGGTGATAATTAGTGTCACAGTGGATTCTCAGTAAAGTATTGAGCCAGGCCTCCACACGTTTGGTTGCAGACCCATGCTCGATGTACTGAAGCGGGGTCTGGGTACCCGCAGGTTCTGGCTACTCCCGGACCCTGAGGATCGCACACCAGCAGACAGGGGACTCAGCTCAGGGGCGCTCTTAAACTGCTTGGCTGCCTGGAATTGGGTGTAGGCTTGCCCAGGAGTGGGTTGTGGGATGGGCACTGAATTGGGCACGGGGGCAGTGGATATTTTGGGGAGAGCAGGCAGGGCTGCTGTCGGAGCAGGAGGAGGTGGCGAGAATGGTGCCGCAGGTCGTGGAGCAATGGGAGGTGGGGAAGTGACATCACTGCGCCACATTGGCTCACCGAGAGTTGTGGCAGAGCGAGGGGCGATTACAGTAGGGGTCAGGGATGTTGGTGCAGACATGGGAGTAGGCGTGGAGAAACGTTTGATTTCATACACACGGCCTGCTTTAACAGGGACCTGCTTCGGTGGGTTAAGGAAATTACCTGTCATACCAACACCATTCTGCTGCTGCTGATAAGTGGCAGTGTTTTGAAGGACTCCACCTCCATAACTGAATAAAGAGGAGTTGAGCTGGTATGGCTGCCTGCTCACAAAGTCTAGAGCCTTTATACCCTGTTTGTGCTGGCCAGGCACTGTTTTAACCCCAACTTTAGTAGCATCATTAGCCTTTGTACCACGCTGGGCAACTGGAGGGCAAGAAGGTGACAGCAGTGGATTATAATTAATGGGTGGTGGGGCTCGGATGTTTGGAGAGTATTTCCAGTGACCTGGGAGGGAGGGTGAGGGTGACGGATCACGAGGCTGCGCTGGAGATTTGGGCTGTTTATCCACCACATATCGGTCCATGCGACTTTGTCTGCGTGCAAACAGCTCTGCACCTTTACCTTGCATCTGGGGCATCTCAGGAGCTGAATGAGCTGGTTTAGGAGCCACTGGTGGTGGCATCTTGTATCTCTGTGCCTGCATGAAATTACAAGCCTCTGCACCCAGGTTGAGGAAATCCTCCTCAGGGCCAGACTCAAACCCAGCCTCTACACCCGAACGGGACCTGTCATCCAAGTTCTGCACTAGAGACAGTAGTTCAGGGTTATAAGATGGAGCCTTCTTCTCCTCTTGAGCATTGAACATTGGTTTCTTGGTGCCACGACGACAAGCCTCCTGCAGGATGCCAGTGCGACCAACGGGGGCTGAGACCCGCTGCTCTCGAGAAGTCATCCCATCTGTGGAGTTGGAGAAGAGAGGATATTGCTGGGCAACTGGTGCATTTGGTGTTTCCGGTGTAGTGGATGCCACAGAGATGTATGGGTTAAAGGAGACTTTGTGGGCTGGGGAAGATTGCACATTTGGTGCTGCAGGAGCATAGGCATGGGCAGGGGCAGGGGCATTGGGAATACCTGGGACATTTGTGGATGGGGGAGAGAAAGGCTGTGCTGGCACATGAACCAGTGGAGGTGGCTGATATTGAGCAGAAACCTTGTGGTACGGAGGACTGAGATGCATTGCCTGTGTTTGGGGTGGAGAGTAAGGCTGAGATATACCAGAAGGTGATCTCAAAGATGTTACATGAGAAGATGTTGGAGAAAAAGGGGCAGAGGTGCTGGAATAAGTTGGGGAGTAGAGTGGAGCGTTTGCAGGGGGAGGAGAAAATGGATTTGAAATGATTGAGGATGGAGATAGCACAGAGGAAGGACCATTGTAGGTGGCCGGTCTGGCAGGGATATACAGTGATGTCGTAGAGATGGCTTTCTTCCCCTCCGAGCCAGCAGGAGACAAGGGAGTTGGCATAGTTGCCACAGACACAGCTTGAGCCAGTGATCCAGCCTTTTTGGCAGAGCAGGGTCTGAAGACTACTGGAGCAGTTGCTGCTCGATGGCTCACACAGCCAGGGGCAAATGGCCTGGCAGTTCTGTTGTGCACTGAGTTGGCAGCCGATGAGTCTGCTTGCTCTTGTAATACTCCTGCCATTGATGGCATGGGTGTCTGGACTGGCGATGACAACACAACACTTGTCCTGCTCACCACCAAAGGTTCCCCATTCACCATACTGGTACTATGAGAAAATAGGGGTGTGACAGGAGTAACTGGGGTATACGTTAGGGTTGAGTCTCCCTGATGCTGTGGCATGGAGAAGGCAGTGGGTGTACCCAGGTTTAACATATGTTTTTCTGCTCTTTTCCTCTGTTGTTCAAAAAGCTGGGCTCCTTTTCCTGAAGTGGCGTTTAGGCCTGGGCTTATCTCTGCTTCTCTGTCAGGCACAATACAGGCAGAAGTTCTCCTGTCTAGAACGTCCAGGTAACCGCTATCCCAGGTAGGGTCTGGTGCAGCAGAAAAACCATCCTCATCAATCTCAGATTCACTCCCAGGAAACAGGCTTTCGTCCTCAGTTTCTCCCTCTGTGTTACTGTTGCTTTCTCCGTCTACACTGCCAAAGCATGTGAGAGTGTACTTCTTGGCGCGCTGCCGTCGCTTTTTGAACATAAGCACACCTTTAGAGTGAGGGTTAGGAGCATCTGTCAAGAGTGACGCAATGGTGCGGCACTTGGATCGGGCCTCCTTCACCTGCTTATCTTGTGAACTCTCACCTCTGTGTAGCTCTAAGGAGAGAAAGATAGTGTGTATATCAATCAGCGAGAAATACTTTAAATTTCTTTACTTGAACCAACAGTATCATTTGTATATTTTGTTTTATTTGCATGGCTTCACATGCCTGTTAGCATGCCTTGTCTGGTCTATAGGGTATCTTATGACTTTTATATAACAGTACCTTTGGTGATTAATAGGCAACATCAAACATAAAGTCACATATAAAGTCATCAAACATAAAGTCACAACTTTCATAAATCAAACTGGCATTGTAATAAATTGGAACAGTTAAGTCAGAATAGCTCTGATATTATATACATTATAATGCACTGGGTTAGATGCTGAAATGTCTGGCACCCAAATTCTCATGGTAAATTACTGAGCTCATCCTTCTCTACAAATAGCCCATCAGATTCTAACAGCTTGAGCAAGTAACCCTTGGGGATCCAGGATCTATATTAAAAGACAGGGTAAAGGAATCTGATATGTCTATCGGACAGTCTTTTTGCTAATATATTCTCGTTCTAATATGGAAGGCCTCGAATCATCTTCAATGTTGGAATAATTATGTCATATTAAATTCAAAATATTCTCATTTATAAGGTCCAAATAAAGACATAAATGTGTTTTTAATTATATAGTAATTATCTGTACAATCTTTTGATTATCTAGACATTACAAATGTCAATACAATATACCTGCTAGTGTACAACTGTGCTTAATGAGAAATGGTTGACATATCTAAGCTTTTTTAAGCATTTCAGTTTTCAATAAATCAATACAAGTAAAACAAACTTAACAAAAACACAAAAGCCAAAACTGATCTCAGTAAATACAAGACACTGTAAATAATACCTTTCTATCACCTTGTCTGACCTTTCTCATTAGTGATAATTGTATCCCCAATTTTGGATCGTTTAAACAGAAACCAAGCACCATCTCTCTAAAGCTCTACAGAAGCCCTGAGGTTTTACCTGTATAGATGTGTCCTTTGTGTTCAACCTCTCCAGGCAATGTGAAGCTCCTCATGTTGTTCGGTGTAAAAACTATGTTCTTAAGCCAGCCTTACTGGCAGGACACACACAAACACACCAGTGGAGCACAGCCAGCAATGGGAGCTCTGCCCACATTGGTGCAAAATCAACCAGTCCGTAGCCTGAGGTCAGGCCTTTTAAAGACCTTTTGTCTAACTGCAAGACCCTGTCAAAGGCCCAGAGAAACCCCATTATGTCATTCAAGCTATTTTGGTCAGTGAACAGAGCTAACGGACATTTCCCACCTGTTTGGGCACACTTCGGTCTCTTTCTGGATAGGCCCGGTTAAGCTGAGCGTCATATGGGGTCATGATGACATCTCCAACCATACCACAATGACTTAACCCAACTAAATCAATGACTCTAAACCTACTTTGACTCTGAAACAAGTACCGCCGATCAGATGTGTTTGAGACTCTTGAGGCAACATTTGACTTATTGTAAAAGGTAAAGATAAAAAGGTCAACCTATTGAATCACCATTGAACAGTTTTGAACAATCAATTTTAGATTTTATCAATTATGAGCCAGTAACTACAGTTATGTCACTTACAGTACAAATTAATTCCTCCACAAATGCTATTTAATCTTTGTTCACTATCTATTCTGAGAGACAGATATATTTCTCTGATTGGCACATCCACAATATTTTATACCACTCTCTTTTGACCTCCCACCATGCTGTCACAATAACAGGTGTGCACGCTTCATCTTCTCTTCTTACCAAGGCTGTCTAAATGCCCTGGCTTATTCTGTATTCACCACTAACAGTGACAGAGAAGAGCAGCTGTCATGGACCCTTATCCTCAGTCACTGCACTAATGTCTCAGAGACATACACACAAGAGAATTCACAAACAAGAATTCTAGTTTGGAATTCTCAATAGAGATACAGAATTAAACACCAAAACATGTTTATTTAGGCTACACAATCCTAAAAATGTCCCATCAGACTTGGAAAGCAAAGTGACCTTCAGACTGTCGGCGGGGTGCCATTAGCTGAGGAGAAACCCTTCCCAAAGGTTTTAGAGCGGGGAATTAGCACCCATCAGCTACAGACACAAGATATATTGTTTGACTCCAATGAAGTTTCCAATATGTGTTTATCTTACTATAAGAAGAATTGTGAAAAACAGACTCCTAATCCTCATCACATCATTAACCACATCATTGACACCTGTCTATGCATCTCATATTTAAGGTCAGATTTTTAACCTTTGAGAGGGATGAGCTTTCAAATCATTGAATAGTGACTCAAGTTATATGATACTTAGTAAAAATCAGCACTTGGCTTCAGTAGAAAAGAAATACATATCACAAAATCAAAAAAAAAAAACAAAAAAAAAAAAACAGCTACTGAACCAGTCCAGTAGATCTCAGCCAGGAGCCAGAGCCCAATATATAGGCGCCTTGACAAACTTGCAGAGACTCCCCAAAAGGTCATAAAATTATTTAAATTGAGTTATATTAACAATATTATAATTAAATATAATAGAAAGTATTCAGTATCAAATATTGTCTTGGACATAGGGTTGCCATGGAGTCAAAAGGGTTGAGAACCATGATTTAACCCTTGATGATTAATCAGCTTTAACTTTTATCAATCAATGTAAATCTAGATTTGGCCCAAACCATACTAATTTATATGCTGTAAAATATTGTTTGATACCCATTCATTTAGACAAAGTCATTAATACTTTAAGAATATTGTTAAAAAGGAAAACTAAAATAAACTAAAGATGTAGAATATTTTGTTTACAAACTTAAAATCATTTTATTAGCAGAGACTGAACCATTTAAATGGAGAGAATGAAATATCACTGACACTGGACAACAACTGGACATGCCTTTCCCAGCATGCAATAGAGGCTTGTATTATAGGCCTGAGTCATGGGACAAATATAGACTCAAGCCCTCTTCCCCTGCCCTGTTAAACCCTCAGCAGAGGGACATGAGGAACCCCCATCACTGACATTTGAATATGAGCTCAATTACTTATCCCACATCACAAGGCCTATATGATTATTTCCCACTGAGCCATATCGTGTTATTAGGTTGTATGACAATCAATGAAGTAAATGTGTATCCTTAACTAAAAGTTGTCATAACCACTGAAACAATTTCAAAAACCCTAAGAACACAAAACGCACTTAATTTTAAGACAAACAAAACTGAAAGTAATGATAACGTAGTACAGTAAGTGAGTTTAACCGCTTTCACTGATTCAGCGAGTTCATTCAGTGAATTATTCTTCAGACTGATTTATTTTGATCGATTCATTAACATAACTGCCTCATAAGAGTCATTTGTGTCATTGTGAATCGAATTATGGGTCGTGCTCAGTTCAACTTACCCAGATAGCATGGTGACATTGATACAATGTTGAGTTTTGATCTAAACCATCATTTTGGTTGAGATTTACATTTCAATGTTTAAAGTGTGCTGGATCAGCATTGACATTTTGATGAAAGCCAACAACACACATAAGTGGAGACAGTGACATTGAACTAACAGTGATTTGTAGTTGATGAGCACAAGATCATTTAGGCGTATCTCTGCAGAACACTAGTGGGTGTTTCTCGATCAGTGGGGCGTTTTCAAACCACAATGGGCATTTTCAACCGCTTTACCCGATTTGCTTTAATCCACTGTGGGCTTGGTTTAAGGGTGGGCCTTCATGATTTTAGCAAGTCTGTTGAAAAATGGTTGAAAAACATTTACCTGTATTGTAGTTTGAAATTGGCCACTGATTGGTAAACGCCCATTTTGTCTTTGCATGTGCACTTTTCAGTAGTCTAATGCTTCCTCATTAGAGAGAAAACAGGTGCATCCTATACAGAAGTCTTGTTTGTTGAATCACCTGACATACTTACACGACTAGCAGAGTTTCAAACAATGGTGCATCTACCTTATTTCTCTGTTCCTTTGTTTTGCATGCTTATTTGCATTTGATTTGTGTTGTTACTCACTGTAATTAGATTACAAAGTTATTAAAATGTTTGAATAAAGCATCTATTTTTCTACATTCTTAAAAAATGCATCTTGCTTTAGTAAAGTTTATTAGGAATTTCCTGAATAAAGTTATGTCATTTAACAGATTTCTTAAGGTGCAAGAGACATGAACATGAGCAAGAATGTTAACATAGCCCATGTCTTGTCTCGGTCAGTGCTTGCATGCAGAACACATTGCTCCTTTAGTAGGAGTGAAGGCAGATGAAGATGGACAATTAAAAAAGCACCCTCCTGATAATCCTGACATTGATCATACATTGAGTTGTTGTCGACAGCATAATCACCTGACCTGGGACTTGATGATATCCTGTATCTTATCACTGCTTAATCAGGTAATCATTCATATTCCTGAATCTGTATTAAATTTGAGAAATAACTGATTTCCATTCAGTTTAGCTTGTTTCCACTGAAACACACACACACAAAAAAAGATCTAGTGTTTATTAAGAAACTGACTGACATGGCTATTTTGTGATATTTAAAGAGATTAGGGTCTACATAAGGTGAATATGCAGCTTTAAAGGGATAGTTCAGCCTGAAATTAAAATTATGTCATCATTTATTTACCCTCAAGTTGTTCCAAACCTGTATGAATGTCTTTCTTCTGCTGCACACAAAAGAAGATGGAGTGAAGGATGTTGGCAACCAGACAGTTGATGGTAGCCATTGACTTCCATGGTAATTGTTTCCTTCTATGGAAATCAATGGCCACCATCAACTTTCTGGTTACCGACATTCTTTAAAATTTCTTATTTTGTGTTCAACTTTGGAGTTTGGAACAACTTGAGGGTGAGTAAATGATTACAGAATTTCTCTTTAAAGAAATTTTCATTGAAAAAAACTAAGATATTTTTTATTCTACAAGATAAAAGTGTTATTTGAATGCTGTAGTTTCACAGAAAATGAACTGAGATGTAGTTAATGGCTATAGCTCAGAAGTGTTTGTTCCTCTTCATGAAGAGTTTAGCTCCAGCACCTGGAAGTGTTCATTGATCTGATGACCTTGATTAACTGCCTCAGGTGTGTTTAATTAGGGCTGGAGATAAAATCCGACACCCCTGCTAGTGTTTTCTTTTGATATTAAAGCATAGAAATAAATAAACAGAATTTTATGATACTATAATCGTAGTTAGAATATTTTGTTTTCAGTGACTTTAAAAAAAAAAAAGTGAATCATATTGTGTTTAGTATATTAACATTATTGAATGTGACTATGTATTACAACTGAATTGATTCGTTCTTGAGTAACATCATGCTTTCTTTTTCAGATTTCAGAGAACCCAAAGGAAAAGAGGCAGAATCTGATGATGCAAGACAGATTTTTAAAAACCTGAACCGCTGGACCTGTAGTTATGATGACATCAGACTTCTGAAGCCAATTTTATTTTTAAAGGTTGAAATGCTTTTGTCCTATTTCTCCCCCTTTCTTTTAAAAAAAAGTGATATTTTAATATATTTGTTGTCATTGATTGATTGAATAAAATAAATTGACTCAACTGCTGGAAAGGTGTCATTTATATTTTAAAAGGTTTTCGACAAATTTTGAAATGGTCAGGAATTTGTTGACGCACCATCGAAGTGTGATTGAAATATTAATGTTGTTTCAACATTAATTGGTACATCAGATGGCAACATTGTTTGACATTCCTTTTCAGTCTTTCAACAAAATGTATTTGGAATCAACATCACATTGTAACATTGATCAAACCATATTACCAAAGATTATTTTTTGTTAATTTCAGTGTTAATTCAACAGCAGTGATTTAGATTCAACATCATAGTAACGTTGATTCAACAATATTACCATTGATTAGTTTTGTTAATTTCAATATTGATTCCGCATCAGTGATGTAGAATCAATCATAGTGTAACGTTGATTCAACAATATTACCATTGGTTATTTTTGTTAATTTCAATATTGATTCAGCATCAGTGATATAGAATCAATCATAGTGCAACGTTGATTCAGCAATATTACCATTGGTTATTTTTGTTAATTTCAGAGCTGATTCAACAGCAGTGATGTAGATTCAACATCATAGTGTAACGTTGATTCAACAATATTACCATTGAGTATTTTTGTTAATTTCAATATTGATTCAACAGCAGTGATGTATAATCAATCATAGTGTAACGTTGATTCAATAGCATTACCATTGATTTTTTGTTCAACATAGTTTCAACATTAACTGAGGGTGCAAAAGTGATGTTGATAAAATATCACTTTGTAATGTTGAATCAATACTATTACCATTGATTTTTGGTTGAATTCCCAACATTATTTCAACATTAACTGAGGGTGCAAAAGTGATGTTGATAAAATATCACTTTGTAATGTTGAATCAATACTATTACCGTTGATTTTTGGTTGAATTCCCAACATTATTTCAACATTAACTGAGGGTGCAAAAGTGATGTTGATAAAATATCACTTTGTAATGTTGAATCAATACTATTACCATTGATTTTTGGTTGAATTCCCAACATTATTTCAACATTAACTGAGGGTGCAAGAGTGATATTAAAGCAACATTACTTTGTAACGTTAATTCAATGCAATTAGCGTTGACGCATCAACACTGAGTCAACATTGTTTCAATGATTACATGCTATCTGGGTAGACTGCAAACTCACATTCTCAACTCGGGTTTGGAAAACTTGCAAAGTATGGCAAATCCAGAGATTATTTCATCCTCAAATATGCTCTCTCTATCAACTTTTTTACTTAAAAACTTATCCCATTCTCCCGAAAATGAATTGTATCATCATCACACACACAATATCTTGCAATATGCAGTAAAAATGTGATAAACTGAATTCTGGCTTAATTTTATGAAATATCATTGCATCACACCAGGTCCAGATTCACACTCCTTCTTGACATGGAAGATTGATTTATCTCTAGTGAATTTTCCAGAGGTTAAATTTAACACAGTACACAAATAATTCTGAGCTCATCCTCCATATATATTCACTCAAAAATAATTTGTTGTACTGACTGCTCAATTTACATACAGTAATTGAAATTAGTTAATGCAACAGAATAAAAAAAAGTCAAATTGTGTTAGGACAACATGAATAATTTTTTTGTTGTCAAAGAAAATATTACTTTAAAGGGGTCATCGGATAAAAAATTCACTATGGTGTTTGCATATAAATGTGTCTTTGCAGTGTGTGAACACAACCACCATACAATGAAAAAAATCCATTCACTCCTTTTTTTAATCCTCAAAAAGTCTAAACACTCTCAATAATCAGGCGTTTGGATTTTCTGAGCACTATGATGTCATGCTCATGCTCCGCCCACGACCACTGACGGACTGTCCCGAATTAGCATATTTCTGCCCTCAGCCATTTGACACCCCCCATGGAAGAGAGGGGTGGGGTGAGCAGTAGCTCATTATCATTTAAAGAGACATGCACCGAAACAGGTCACTGTGTACAAAGCTGTTTTTTAGGGGGTAAAAGGGTGTTGTTTTACACAACCATTGAGGAATTTTAACCAAAGTATATTACAAACTTTACATGAACACCCTCAAGAATCATACCAACTTGTGGAAAATGGACATCCGATGACCCCTTTAAGCATGCTAATGTGTACTATGATGCTAGTTTGCCGTTAATCTGACATTGAATTATGCATTTTATTTTATTTATTCAATTCCATTTTGTTTCAACTACACAAAGTGTTCGTTAAAGAAATTCCTCAAGTGACTTAAGTTCAGTCAAAGAGTTATTTTTTGAAGATATTCAAGCATAAACTATTGTTCAAAAGTTTGAAAAAAATGGGTTCACGAAAGAAATTAATACTTGTATTCAGCAAAGATGCCTTTAATTGATCAAAAGTGATCGTAAAGGCTTTTATTATGAAAAACAAGTTTCTTCTGAACGTTCTATTCATCTAGCAATGCTGGAAAAAAATGTATTAGTTTCCACAAAAATATCAAGCAACACGGATATCATTGATACATTGAAAAAGTAACATTGATAATGAGAAATGATTTCTAAAGGATCATGTGACAATGAAGACTAATGGCTGCTGAAAATTCAGCTTTGCCATGACAGGAATGAATTAAATTAAAATATATAACTAAAAAAATATAAAACAGTTATTTTAAAATGTAATACAATTTCACAATTACTGTTTTATTGTATTTGTGATTAAATAAATGCAGCCCTGGTGAGCATAATTCAAAAACACTTTATAAATCTTACTGACCCCAAACTTTTGAACAGTAGTGTGTGTGTGTGTGTGTGTGTGTGTGTGTGTGTGTGTGTGTGTGTGTGTGTGTGTGTGTGTGTGTGTGTGTGTGTGTGTGTGTGTGTGTGTGTGTGTGTGTGTGTGTGTGTGCGTGTGTGCTATTTAAAAAAGATGACTGGTACTCACTAGCTTGCTTGGCCTTGTCCATGTACGTGACACTGAGTTCTTCATCCACTGGGTTGTCCACAGGACCGACCATGGGTACCATCTGTCTGTGAGATGCAAGCATGAGAGCCTCTTTTGCCCTCTCTGGAGAAACAAGTGGAGGTGGGACAGTGGGAGGCTCCTGGAAGCCACTGTCCACTTCAGCAGCTCCTGATGGACTTTGGTCTGAATTCTCAGAGGAATTTTCCGCCTGGTGTGACCATTCAGCCTGCGAGGACTGGTAGACCACCTCTCTGCGTGCCACCCCAGGCATTACGTGCTGTTGCTGAGTCCCCGTTCCCTCTAGATCAGATACAGGCCAGCTCTGTGTTTGAGGGTACATGCAGATGTCCTGGGCGCTCTCATAGCCACTCATTTCCGAAGTCTCCTCCTCTTGGGGTGAGGCTTGGCTGGGGCTCTTGGCAGGAGAGCTACTGGGGCTTCGTCGTTTCTGTCTACGCTGCCTCTCTTGTGCCGCCACATCTGCGTCGCTGTCTGTCTCGCCGTAGTAAGCTTCACTGTCTGGAGGGGATGCAAGCCACTCTAGGCCGCCGGTGGGGGACATGAGCGATGCTCGGTTGACACCGGGCGGTTTAGAGGTAAGTGGAGGGGACAGTGCTCTAAAGGCTGCCCGGTACTCCTTATCAATGCGGGGAGAGGGGGCCCGACCCAGAAGCACCACTGACTGATACGCAGCTGGGGCCCTGAATGGAAAGCAAAGTGATCATTTTGAATATAAATTCAATACCATGACTCTCATTCCCTCATGATAATCATATCTTACCCCGATCTTTTGATTCGCAGATGGAGGGTTCCTCTGCCACTATCAATCAGATTCATAGCCTCAGCATGAGATAGTGTTCCACAGGACACATCATTGATTGACACCAGCTCATCAGTCTCTCTGAGCCCAGCCCTGCAGGCCTTACTGCGCTTCCTCACCTTTAACAGCAGGGGGAGACAGAGTCAGCACAAACATTCTGTTCGATGAGTTTCAGGAAGATAAATAAGTATGTAGAGGGAGACCGCACTGGGTATGGTTGTAACACTTTTTGCTTCAGCATCTATAACTCACTGAATTTTTTAGCTTAAGTGCTCAAACTTTTATAAAAAGTACCCACATTTGTTTACTAGAAAACTAAAGGCACTCAAACCTCTGCGAAAATATCACAGCTCTTATAAGTTGATGTCAAATACATGGTGTGCCTTTGTTACAATCTACCCCACTACTGGGGTAGGATGTAACTGTAACACACGCTGGGGTAAGTTGTAACAATAAGACTAAAGAAGCAAAACCAGCGGACACACCATGCTTCAAACCCAGGTTTATTGAAACAATCCAAAAGAACAATCTTTCTGTGACTGACCACAGCTCAAATCCACTTACTGTTTGACTGTGTGTGAGCATGAGTGTAAATTTTTCTACTGGAACAAACTTTCTTAATGTTATTTATACTTAATGAACACTCTACTCCAGTGTGGCTGTGTAAAGAACATGAAGGTCTAAAAAACACTCAATGTGTGTTTGAGCTTGTGTCCCAGTGGATGAATCCTCTCAGATCACAATGGTGACCAATTATTGTGGTTGACCCTGGAGTGCAGGCTTGGTGGGCCCAATCTGGGCTGCCCATGCAGAGACTGCATATGGCACATTTTACTCAAACTTCCTTTGGCTTTGAGTTGCTAAATGGATCTATACAGACAACACCACAAAAGCTTTCATTGTCTGAGGTCAGTTCCCTTTTTTTAAACACAGGCAAGCACACCTGTATCTGTCTTTCGTTTCCACTGTCTAGTTATTCTGTAAAATTATTCAAAATAAACTGTACTTAGTTGTATGTAAGGGGATTGCTGTAACACTTTTTATTAAAGATGTGTTAACTTACAACCCACCCCAACCCTGTCAGTCATTGTTTAGCTAGCCATATTAGCATAATGGTGAAATTAGCAGGTCAAAAATACATCACATTTTGCCTGAGAAACTACAATTTAATCAAATATAAGTAAAATGATTTTATCTGCAAAAGTTTAAGTTCTAAACAAAATATAGTTTTGGTACCCCTATAAAGCACATAAACATAGCCATTGTTTCCTTTAATTGTAAATCCTGCATATCAAAGTTCAATAGTGCACCGATTTTCAATATAACTATTAAAATTGTGAATCTTTTGTGTGGATAGACAATCGATTTGAAATTAATCGAGTTTCATTTTATTCTTTGTGCATAATTAAGCGCTAAATCACAACACCACACAAACAGTCAGGCAAAACATAGCATGTTTGGTATCGTTGGACTCGGCAAGGATTCAGGAACCTAAGGAGATGACTCGCGTGAAAGAGTTATAAGCATTTGAAAAATTAATAAATTGTTACGTGTGCAAATTAATGGTGACAAGGAGACTTAAAATCGTTCTGAAAATGTTTCGTTCCGACTGAAGTTTTCTGATGATCGCGAACACTTCATGCCTGTTTGCGCTTCAGGCTGGCACAGTGCAGTGACTATTAACCTAGTGCAAATGACACCCACGTCCATGAATACATTATTTTATTTTTTTTCATTAATGACTCATCATTTTTGAACAAATCTTTCGAGTCCGTGAATGTGAATCGTTGACTTCAGAGCACTGACTCGTTATTTCCATTTACTGAACATTAAATCCTGATAAAGCTTTTGACAAAATGGAGGAAATTGAATAATATGCCTATCGTTCGGAACGCTATGATTGTTTTGGATGCTTTTTTTAAAAAGCAACTCACTCACAACTTACTCATGTAACCCGCAAAATGTATCACTGAATGAATCTTTTTGATAATATGTTTCTGTTCAAGTTACTTTTGTTTTTCTTCTTTTGCATAAAATACTGCACAGCCTAGCTATTTAAATAATTCTACAAAAAATATAAGCTACCGAAATGTTGTTTATCCAATCGTGTATTAAGAATTGTTCAGAATTTAGCAAAAAATAATGTTATAATCAACATGGAAACCAGTTAACTAAATTAAATAATTTCACTTTCAAACTAAAGATTATAGGCTTCATCCAGTGAGTTTTGTATTGGCAGATTCGGGGGATGAAGCTACAGGACAGTATGTCTAAAGAGTTGCTTATATGGCTGTTTGCCCATTTTCAAATACCCTCTCCTTGAGTGTAGGGCCTTCCTGAGGTCATCTGTCAAATATAAGAGCGCTTTTCTAACACTCACTTGATCAACACGTACCAAGCTAAAGGCCGGCCACATTCCTGTCTTTGTCTCTTGCTTCTAAAGGCACTTTACAACTGTTTTGATGAGTTGAGGGGATATGTTTTCACCAACCTAAAGCAAATATGTATTTTCCCTTACAAAGGCCTAAAGGGCTTAACAGCTCTGAGCAGCTCAGACTATTAGTCTTATATAATGTCTAATTTTAAAAACAGCTTTTTGTATCTGTAAGTTGTGGACAAAAATAAATGCATGATGAGACCATTAAAAACTACAAACACAATGTTAATTTAGCTTTTCTGTGAAAACTGGTAACACAAACTTGTAAATGGAAGACAATAGATGAAACCCAGGCCCGTTCACCTTCTTTTTATTGCCGATCAAATGGTCTGCGAATGCAGGTTGGGGGAACAACATGTGCAGCTGGTGCCAGGGCAGCTGTTGACTTGGCAGACCTAAACCAGGGCATGTCATGAATTCACCATGTGTTCCCCACATAGCCTAAATAAAGTGCTCAACTATTGTAAAGAGTAAGTTGTCACTCAGCCTCAGTAGATTCAGCTTAAAACTCAATGAGTGCATGTTTATGAGAAGTGGACTTAGTACTAATATAAACTAATATAATAGTAAAAGAAGTGGATGTGTACCATAACGGATTGCAAAGCATTGGAAGAATGAATGCATTTACATTATGAGTTACTATGAGGACACTCTGTACGTCTTCAGTCATTTTCAAAACATTGCCAGAGGATTTTGCTAGCCGAGCAAGTGTCACTGAGGTCGTTCTAGATGCCAGGATTAAAAGAAGCAATCAGAGATCCGGGTGGATCAGAATAGCTCAATTAAAAGTAGAGATGGTCATGGAAAAAAGGCCACACCGCAAATGGAAACAAGATGAAAGTTTGCAGAAGTGACCTTGAAATTAATGACGAGGGGAAACTCCCTGGTGCTGGACGGACATTTATTTCCAAGCAAAAATATATTTCTCTAAATAAAAAAGTCAGGGCCATCGCTCTGTGACGGATATCTTTTCTCTTGGAACATGGAAAGAGTAGACTAGACAGTCTCTGCCATCACTCACCAATCCAAAATAGCCCTTAGATCAGGGAAAATGCATTGCACACAGTTGTCACTTAACAAATAGGGCATACTGTGCTTATAAGTAGACACTGTGGCTGTAATTCTACTCACTCCTGAAATAACATCCTCATTTATACAGAACTGTGTGAGAATGCTTCTTTGAAAGATCTGGATTCCAAAGGAAGCCAAACAAAAGCTGTCAATTAGATAAGAGTGAAGAGATGCACTGTGAAGCCTAGCAGGTTTATCTATGGACCAGGAATGCTTACAGCACACAGCCAAATAGCTCATGAACAGCATTTATCAACAGATAAAATAAGTGCTCTCTAGCATGTACTCTCTAGTAGTTGCACTATGATGTGACAGTGTTATCTTATTTATGTTTGCCCATATGTCGGTGCTATATCTATCTTAATTAAGTTTTTAAAATAAATATGCAATGAGTATTTCATTTAAAGGGCCCCAAAAAGATTGTTGTTCATACATGATATGACATTCCTCACACATGCGAATGGGCCGCATGACCCACATGAGTTTTCATCAGAAAATGTCCTCAATAATACTTTACTCTTGTAGGCTTATCAAGTGTTATAGATATTCCTCAGTGACATGTGGAACAAACATATCTGCACAGTTAAAAAAAAATCTGACCAGGGCTAAATGTCATAGACATTGATCAATTAAATATTAAATTAAATATACAGGCCTATTATATATCTATATATATATATATAATTAAATATATGATCTTTCAATGTGACAATTTTACTTTTAATTATGTGCAGTATTTTTTTTAACAGGTTAATAGACCCTTCATTTAAATGAGACACACGATTCAGCTAAACCAGGTATAGCCTATCGAACTGTCCCCTTACCTTTGCCACTTGGAGGGGATTCTGGTGCTCAGCTCCTCCTTGTAATCGGAAACCCCACGGTGCACCTCCTGAGAGGGTCACCACTACCTCCTCTGCAACCATTTTTCTTATGTTGTTCCTGTGTCTCTTTTAATATTTCTTGGTTTCTATCAAGTCTCATCCCATCCCTGGATGTTCAGTCCTCCTCTGTGGCCCAGACTGCCAGCCGAGCTTCTGTCAGTCCTGAGAGGCGAGCGCAGATACACATGGCCATGAGCATGTGAAGTGTTGGGAGAGCAAAAGGGGGCGTGAGGAAGCAAGAACAGCTCTATCTCTCTTTATTGGAATGTTGGGTCAGCGGGTGGGGGTGCGTGGTCTATCCAGGACCTCCTTCCTTCATCCTGCTGGCCACACTTGTCCTGTCAATCTACAGCCACATCCAAAGGATGCTGATAGACCCTCTAAAAATAAATCCCCCAGCAGTCCCACTGAGCTTTATCTGTGAATGCCCTGAAAATGTGAAGGGAGCTGTTAGAGGAGTTATTTTTGGGTGTCAGAGGCCACAAGACTATATTGCAAATTAAAATAAAGCTTAATGATACTCATTTGGCATTATAAATAAATGTTTAGCAAGCAAGATATTTCTGGGGAATTCATCAGCTAAATAATTATAGGGACTTGTTCATTTGATCTAGATATAAAGTTGCTTGACCAAAGATGTTTACATAAAAAGGATTTAGATTCTCAGTGTTATTTGGTCATTTAATATTTGGCATTTATTGAATAGATTTGTTTTTTATACATGTTGTTTTTATTTTATCTGTTGCTATAGCAAATAAGATGGAATATGAAACGTTTAGGAGGAATGCATGCTTTCCTCCTTTGTTCTGTTTTGGGTTTGTAAAATATACTCATCATTACTTTATATTCAGGAATTTAAGTAATTTTATCCTGTGTTGTTGTGGGATCAAGATGCACCAGAGTATTGATTCTCAGATTGTAAAAGAAAACTCAAGGAATATGTTTGATCAAAAGGAATGATTGTCTTTGAAAGCTTGATTAACTGACATGTTACCTTACGCCACTCATGTTTGGTGCTCTGAAAGTTGATTGGTAGACAGGTTCTTATAATTCCAGCCACAGATTTATAAAAAGGTAAATAAAGTCTAGGCCTATAGCCTGTTCCTCTCCGCTTAAGGTGCACAAAGGTGTATCATATTCCTGAAGATGATCTTTAGCTATAACATTCGCCATTAAAAAGTTTCAGATTTAACTTAGAATTGAAGTCAAATGTTTGGTTGGTATTTTTGCATGGCATTTCTGGTTGGATGTGTTGTAGCTATGTCTTATCCTCAGAAAAAGACAAACAAGGAAAGCGCAAGCAACATTGTAATAAAATCAAAGATGTAGAATAGTCAGATTCAGGCACATTGTATGCTCTAAACAAATTATTACAACTGAGAAGTGTGTGTTTGGCAACAGTATATTGTAACAGTCTTAGCAGGGTACAAAGAGTTACAATGTGACAAAATAAAGACACTGATCTGGTGATGGATGATTTTATATTTTGGTCAAGTCAAGTGAGGAAAATAACTTATTTGTGTATGTTGGCAAATGTCTCCTCTTTTGTGCATTCATTGTTGAATTTGTAGAAAAATTGAAAAGGATATAAATGAAACATGGGGGGGGGGGGGGGGGGGGGGGCATGTGACAGCACTTGTAAATGATGGTTTTCCTAAATTGACAGTAATGTCAGGTCAAACTGTTTGTTTTTGCTAGGTTGTAATATTAAAAACAGATTAAGAGAGAATTAGGTCCAAATGATAAAACTATTAAAACTAAACATATTCACAGTTCAGCCACTAGAGGGAGAACAGTACCAGCATCATCATCTGGGTAAATTATAGAGGAGATTCAAATGGGCGGCCCGGGTAACTGTTGAAAACCATTAAGTATTATTTATTGCATATGAAGCTACAGGAGTTGTAAGATTTAAATAGTACATATAACGCTGAAATCCGTGGTGACATTTGAGGTGTCAAGGACGTGACGTTATTGTTTTTATTATTTAAATTGACATTTTATTTAGCCTAAATTATTATTTGACATTTGGTATCATAAAAGAAATTCTGAAATCGAATGAAAAGAAATATGTTCCATTTATTTCACTATGGCATCTTTCATTGTTTTGAAGGAGGACTGAACATCCAGGGATGGGACGAGACAATAGAAACCTAGAAACATAAGAGACAACGTAAGAAAAAGATCTGTTGTTCATGAAATTAATTCAAGTAGGGCCTAAGTAAAATAGCCTATAAATAGTCAAAAAATCCAATGTGTTTTCCACACTCTAACCAGCTTGCCCAAGGTCTGCCAAGTCAGTGTCAGTTAGCCCCATGAGCTGGTAGTTAAACTGAATTCATTATAGATCACCTCCAGCTAATGACCATAGTCAAATCCATATAATAACAGAAGTGTAACACAATCGCGATGTACAGAAACTTCACATTTGTGCTATAGACTTACAATTATGCAACCAGTAGTCAATGACATATTTGATGTTAGTTTATAGTCTAATAATGTGCTTCACGATCATAATCAATCAGAAGAGTTTAATCTGATGACGTAACACAGATATTGTCGTATAAAAAACTCTGTTTTCATCACTGAGATCTTTTAAAAGTATGCTTTTTACGGTTTCAATTCAAGACCTGTGGCTAATGTTCGTGAAGTCGGCCCCTCCTCTGCCCCCTCTCTCGGAAATAAACCCAGTTTTTGCCACAAATTTACTCTATATTTGGTGTTGGTCTGATGTCTTGAGCGTAAAGGAAGAGGAGGAGGGCAGAGACCGCACAAACCGCCGGTGTCCCAGTAGAGAAGACCGAGCGATAAACGCCTGTATCCACTCACCCGTTACCCGAGATGGAGAAAACTTCTTTCAAACTCTTCATTTTATGGATTTATTGTGTGATTGTATTCCTTGATGCTGGACTAGGTAACGTTACACCCTGTCTTTTCAGTTTTCTCTAAATCTGAAACTTTTCTGTCTTGTCTGATCGCATTTTGATATAGCCTACTTTATTTTAACATAGCCAATTATGTCTTCTGACGTGATTCAAGACAGAGGATGAATGAATAAGTTTAATTTGACTGTCAGATATTTTGCTTCATTCTTTCATTTTATCCGAACACACATTTTGCCTTTCTTTCTTTCTTTCTTTCTTTCTTTCTTTCTTTCTTTCTTTCTTTCTTTCTTTCTTTCTTTCTTTCTTTCTTTCTTTCTTTCTTTCTTTCTTTCAAACCGTAAAGCTACATCACTAAATGGACCCACATTTCCCCACTATAAAACTTTGGCATGTGTGTACTCAGAAGGCACTTTCAAGTTATACATTGAATAGCTGCAGATCAGGTATGATAAAGGTCTGATAAGTATATGTGAACTTTAGAAACTTCTGTATGTAAAATGTTTTGTCTGATGCATGCTGGTGATGCTGATCATTTAATTCCCCTACAAATGGAGGCAATGGTTATGAAACTGATCATATGTTAATGTTTAGACATGTTTTTGTTTCTAAGCCTGCAGGCTGCCAGTTTAAATGCAGTTTAAATCCAGTTGGAGATAAAAAAAATAGCATTTTTCTTTCTCTTCCATGCAGGCTCCAACATCTGTACTTCTCGAGGAGCCAGCACATGTCAGCAGTGCCTGGCAGTGCATCCTACCTGTGCCTGGTGCTTTCAAGAGGTGTGCTCTACAATAATTTATGACTGAGCTGAAACATGTTTAGATTTTAATACAGTATTACATAAGATTCCTGCATGGCAGAGAGCTGTGTGATTGATATTATAATCAAACGTTCAGTCAGTCTTAGTGGTCGTAGTATTGTTATGTTTTCTGAAATGTAGGCCTATTAGTAAAATTATTTATATATATATATATATATATATATATATCAGCAATATCTTAGTATGCTAATACTCAGATCATGACTCAGTGGAGATTAAATAGGCTGGATAAGACTTAAATAAACTGCCTCATCTCTGAGTCAAGGATTTGTTTTTTCTTGTTTCATGACACAACAGATTTTTGCAACTTTAAATCAATTACAACAATGAATTGTTTCTCAAGAAGACTATGGTTTTACCGTCACCACTACTATCCTCCACATGGTTTCCAGTGTAGTCAATGACAATGCAACCGAAGTGGCAGATCTTTTCTTCTGTATGATCCGAGTGAAGCAGATTATCTGGGGGAAAAAATTGGGATTTAAATCTATCAATTGGTTGTTGGTTGGATGGTGGCAGATCTGAATGTGAGCTTATGGAGAAGTCCAGCATACATCACCAAAGAGAAGTCTGCCGTTGCAAAGGAAGAGTTTTGACATTCGATTAATTCAAACAAAATTTAAAAAGAATTAGTCTAAATACGCATGTACAAATGGTACAATAAGATTAATAAAATGCTTTTAGCAAATAGATGCCAACTTAAAGAGGATGTCTTATGGAAAACAGTTGTTTTCGATGACTATGTTTAAGCCTCAACCATTGAATCATTATGAAGAGGACAAAGGATGTTGTTACTGTCAACTTTTTTCAAAACTTTTGTCCTTATCTCATATAAAAGTGTGAGTCATGTATTATATCTTAGGAAGTAAAATGATGGCTGTTTCCTTAAGGAAATCCACTAGATTGTCAATGTGTTGTTACAAAAATATTGGCTTAACCACTAGCCTGACTTAGGAGACAGGACTACCTTCTTTTTTTAACCAATGGCAGACGAGGCAAGGAGTGTTTGATTTGTTTTTCCGTAATTCTATTTGCCGCAGAAATATTTATTAAGTGTCCTGTACCAGTATAACTGTGTACCAAATGCTTATCAGGATTTTGGACAAGATGTGCCTGGCTCTTCCCGATGTGACCTGAAGAAGAACCTCATCGAGGCAGGATGCAGGAGAGGAGCTCTGGAGTATCCCACCAGCAAAATGCATGTGACGGAGAACAAGGATCTCAGTGACAAGGCCTCGGGATCCACCACCGACGTCACCCAGATCCAACCTCAGAGCATGCAAATCTCTCTAAGACCTGGTGAGTTCATCAACCCAAAAACGAATGACCGCAAATTACATGTTCTTCCATTAGACCGGATTGTTACTCTGGCGTTTCACAGATGATTCCCAGGTCTTCACGCTGAAAGTCCGTCAGGTTGAGGACTACCCTGTGGACTTGTATTATCTGATGGACCTGTCCTACTCCATGAATGACGACTTGTCTCAGTTGCGACGGCTGGGGCAAGGCTTGACTGAAGAGATGAGCAAAACCACCAGTAATCTGCGCATGGGCTTTGGGGCTTTCGTGGATAAACCCGTGTCCCCATACATGTACATCTCCCCTGAAGAGGCCGTGTTAAATCCCTGTTACTCGTGAGTGATGACATATATTTACATGCTGAACATAAACATTACAGATGATAGGTGTTTATTACAAACATGTAATGGGGCGGT